GAGAGAGAGAGAGAGAGAGAGAGAGAGAGAGAGAGAGAGAGAGAGAGAGAATGCCTCTTTTTAAAATGTCTTGTCCTGACTGTTCTTGTGGTTGTCTGCCTTTTCCACGTATCATGGAGCCTTTAGGTACCCAGAAAAGAGAGATCTGCATCTCACCCACTTTTCACAAGAACTTGCGTATGACAGCTGTCAGAAAGGGGATGTAAACCTGCCCCCCCCCCACCGTTTGAAAGACCCTCCCTTTTTGTTGCTTGGCTTTTTCGTGGTCAGCCGGTGATGGTAACTCCAAATTGCCATTTGAGCATGTTACTGACATGGCCCTGAATCTGCCCCGCCCCCCAAAGGGGGAAGCAAGGAGGCAAGTGAGCAAGCAGAGCTTGCAAGCAGATTGAGGAAACAAGGCAGGTTCTGGCTGGAAGACGGGAGAACAATCCATAGTAAGCCTGATTGTCAGGTGTACTGTGAGTTATTCCATGAACAATGCACATGATGTATGTTATTCCTAGACTGGGTTGCCTTCTCATGTGAGATTGCCTGCCTAGTTCCTAGCCAGAGCATGCAAGGAGGGAAAAGGTGGTATCCTAGCTGCCTTTCCAGATGTGGAATACTTGGCTCAACAGCACTGAAAAAAGAAAAAGAACTTGGAATTTTTGTAGACAAGATAAATATGAGCCAGCAATGCTCTGCAGCTGCAGAAAGGACAAATGCTATGCTGGGACACACAAATGGAAGCATCACTTCCAGAATACTGTATTCAGTTCTGAGCATCCAGGTTTTAAAAAGATGCATTAAAAATAGAAAGGGTTCAGAGGAGGCAACAAAGATGATCCAGGATCTGGAAACTAAGCCCTATGATGAAAGGCTGGGGGAGCTGGGCATATTTAGGTTCGAGAAGAGAAGACTGAGAGGGATTTGATAGAACCCTACAAGTACCTGAAAGGCTGCCACAAGGAGGAAGGAAAAGACCTCCTCTGACTGTAGGACATGGAGCAACAAACTTAAAACTGCAGCACATCAGATTCAGGCTTGACACCAAGAAAAACTTCCTCCCTGTCAGAGCAACATGGCAGTGGAACTAGTTGCCAAGAGAGGTCGTGTGCCCTCCCACGCTAAAGATGTTCAGGGTGAAACTGGACAGTCTTCTGGGTGGAATGATGTGACTTGGCATCTGGCACCAGCCGGGTATTGGACCCAGTGGCCTTCCTGGCCCCTTCCAGTCCTGCTCTTCTATGAATCTATTAGTCTGTGTCATATACACATAAATAGTAGGCAGAAAAATGTTATCTACATCATTGCACACAGCCAGAAAAGGAGCAACACATGCTTCCCTTTCAGCTCTTCTGCAATGTTTATTGCATATTTTCATGGGTTCCTACATAGAATTCCACTGCTGTGAACATCTTTTTCAGACCCATTAGTACTGTGCTAAGCTTTTCATTTCTGTGCCTTTGGAAAATCTATAAATAAGTACACACTATCACTGTTTAAGTTAATTTAGAATTCTTATTTTCAAAGCAAACACAATCTTTTCATATTTGATCCCCTGTCTTGTTTGAAATAAGAATCCTTACAACCCAAGTGATCTGGTGGGCTCCAGAATCTCACATTGCTGAGTGAGGCTAATGGAAGTTGCAGTTTAGCACATCTGGAGGCCACTAGGTTGCCCACACCTACCATAGTCCACAACACACAACTTTTTCGCAAGTGTATTTGTGCTAGATGTCTGGAACATTGACAAGATGTGTTTATAGTATACTGTTTAAAGGCTCTACATACCGTCTGTCTCTCAATAGTGGTAATAATTTTATTCCTGGTAACTGTTTCTTTCCTAGCAATTCAGTTCCTTGATAGAATAATGCAAATCACTTCACCATTATACTTTTTAGTTAAGAATCTGAAATGGGAAACAAAAGGGGACAGAGGATACTCTTAATGTGGCAGGTTGAGCAGTAATACTGATTTCAATGATTATATTCCATAAGGAAGAATCCATAGGTGCAATATAGCTAATATAATTTCTTGTACTGGGAAGTGCCTTCTCACACAGGCATTTATGTAAGTCGGCTCTAGCTAACATTCAGGTAGTTGGGGGGAATGTGCAATTCAGTGTTCCCACACAGAGTGTAAAAGCAGGACTACAGCTTTATATTAAGAAAACAAAAATAATGACTACAGAAGAATTACAGAACTTTACTGTCAACAATGAAGAAATGGCAATTGTGAAAGATTTTGGATATCTTGATTCAGTCATCAATTTAAATGGTGACTGCAGCCAGGAAGTTTGAAGAAGGCTGAGACTTGGAAGGTCAGTGATGAAGAAACTAGAAGCAATAGTCACATTTAAGGAAGTTTCACTGAAGACCAAGTTCAAGATCATCTGCACTATTGTATTCCTAGTTACCATGTATGGACGTGAAATTGGGACACTGAAGAGAGCTAACAGGAAAAAACTTGATGTGTTCGAAAAATGGTGCTGAAGGAGAGATTTGCAAGCACACTGAACCAACAGAGAGACAGACAAGTGGGTCCTAGATCAAATCAAGTTAGAACATTTCCTGAGACTGCCCTAATGTGGCCACATCACGTGAGAAGGCAAGAATCACAGGGGAAGACAGTCGTGTTAGAGAAAATTGAAGGCAGTAGAGGAGAACGGAGAGCAAATAGGAGAATAATGGATTCTATAAAGGAAGGCTCAACCTTGAGTGTATATGAACTGAGCAGGGCTGCCAAGGACCAGGCGTTCATTCGTAAGGTCACTGTGAGTTGAAGACAACTTCATGGCACCTAACCACAACAGAAGGCACTCTGAAATAGTTTCATTCTGTTCACACAAGCAATGTTTTGCTAGTGGAAACTTCTCTTTGCACAAGAGGAGATTCCAACTAAAGTCCTGCTTGCACACACACGTAGCTCTCACTTCCCCTTACAGGGTCTGCTCATGCGGTGCAGTCAGCTTGCACAAAGTCAGTAAGTGCAGTGTGTTCTGTTTGGGTAAGCTCTGCTGGCATGCACTGTGACAAGTGGGCAAGCTCTGTCAGTGCAACCAGCCGTGTTATGTAATGCAAGTAAAGTTGGTGCCTGGTGCCAACCCAACTCACCTTTTCATGCCAGGTTAAGATGGTCCCCTTTTCTCAGGCAATCACCAGGGCCAAATAACACCTGGGGACAGTGCATGTTGTCATTGTTTTTAGAAGCCCAAGTAGTGTGGGCTACTTATCTTAGTAGTTTAAATGGTTAAATATCTGGTGTCAATTTAAATCATTAAAATCATTAAAATCTCTTTACAGATATGGGTCATTTATGCATCTATATTTCAGTTAGTAGGCACAGTTAAAATTCGCTTTACATTGTGATGAGTATAAAAGCTGTAGGATAAGTCTTCATGCATTTGGACTCATGAGATTAAACATATTTCTGGGTGTAAATACCAAGTAATGTAACTTATCACATAATTGTGTCTTTTTTCTCCCATCAGCTCCTCGGATATAGTGAAAAACCAGTAAACCTACAGATGTTCATTGGGACAGCGGATGATCGTTACTTACGGCCACATGCCTTTTACCAAGTGCATAGAATCACAGGGAAAACAGTTGCTACAGCAAGTCAAGAAATAATTATTGCTAGCACAAAGGTTTTGGAAATTCCACTTCTTCCTGAAAACAATATGTCAGCCAGGTATGACAGTTTTTCTAAGCAAGTCTATAAGCTGTGTGCCAGGTTTCTCTGCTAGGTATGAGTAGAGCATACGAGAGAGACTTCTTAGAAATTGTATTGGCTAGTGATATTTTCCAATATTGACTTCTTACCAGTTCTTTCCTTTTAAAGAGCATTCTCTTCATCCTGTTGTGAAATTTAATTTTAGCTGCTTCTTAAGGCTGAAATCAGCACCTTGAAAAATTGTTTTGTTGTGTTTTGTTTTAAGAGGGGACTGGCTTACCATAGTAGTTTAGGTACTTTAGAATGCAGCCAGTGCTAGTGATTTTATATGAACAATACAATTGAGTCTATCAGCATATTATGCATGTCTAGGAATTCTTATATATGGATAATCTAGCTTTATTTCATATTTTAATGTTAGTTAAAGTTAGAAGCAACTTTTTATTAGTAAGCTTATTTAGAACCCCTGTACTCTCTTCTCCGACTCATTTTTTTTATTATTATTATAACATTTCTATGCCGCCCCTTGCCAAAGCCTCGGGGCGGCTTACAACACATTTGACATTTGTGTGTGGCCTGCTACCTCATGTCAGAAACAAAAGAAAAGTCTCTGGCTCTTGTGATAGTAAAATACTAAGATCAAATCCAAAAAGAACCAGTTAAAATAGTTGATTCACATGTTATGGTCTCAATTCTGTAAACATATTTTGAGAGACCCAGAAAACAGTACTGCTTCATACACTCCTTTCCCCTCCAGATCCCTTTCCTTTGTCCACTTATATTCTCTCTTTCTCTGCCTTGTTTGTACACACCATAGCATGCCCAGTTTGTGGGTTATAGTAAACTATGCTTTAATGAAGTGGGGGGGAGGGACATAAGGGAGAAAAAGTGGATTTGCAAGCCTCGTTGTTGTTGTTAGTCACGAAGTCGTGTCCAACTCATCGCGACCCCATGGACAACATTCCTCCAGGCCTTCCTGTCTTCCACCATCTCTCGGAGTCCACCCAAGCTCACACCAACTGCTTCAGTGACTCCATCTAGCCACCTCATCCTCTGCCGTCCCCTTCTTCTTTTGCCATCTATTGTTCCCAGCATTAGGCTCTTCTCCAGGGAGTCCTTCCTTCTCATTAGGTGGCCAAAGTATTTGAGTTTCATCTTCAGTATGTGGCCTTCTAAAGAGCAGTCAGGGTTGATCTCCTCTAGGACTGACCGGTTTGATCGCCTTGCGGTCCAAGGGACTCACAGGAGTCTCCTCCAGCACCACAATTCAAAGGCCTCAATCCTTTGGCACTCAGCCTTCCTTATGGTCCAGCTTTCACAGCCATACATTGCAGCTGGGAAAACCATAGCCTTGACTATACGCACTTTTGTTGGCAGGGTGATGTCTCTGCTTTTTAGTATGCTGTCTAGATTTGCCATAGCTTTCCTCCCCAGGAGCAAGCGTCTTTTAATGTCTTGGCTGCAGTCCCCATCTGCGGTGATCTTGGAGCCCAGGAAAATAAAATCTGTCACTACCTCCATTTCTTCCCCATCTATTTGCCAGGAAGTGAGAGGACCAGATGCCATGATCTTAGTTTTCTTAATGTTGAGTTTCAAGCCAACTTTTGCGCTCTCCTCCTTCACCCGCATCAAGAGGCTCTTTACTTCCTCTTCACTTTCTGCCATGAGAGTGGTATCTTCTGCATATCTGAGGTTGTTGATATTTCTCCCAGCAATCTTAATTCCAACTGGTGATTCATCTAGCCTGGTCTTTCTCATGATGTGCTCTGCATATAAGTTAAATAGGCAGGGAGACAGTATACAGCCTTGCCGAACTCCTTTCTCAATTTTGAACCAATCAGTGGTTCCGTGTCCAGTTCTCACTGTTGCTTCCTGACCCACATATAGGTTTCTCAAGAGACAAATAAGATGGTCAGGTACTCCCATCTCTATAAGAACTTGCCACAATTTGTTGTGATCCATGCAATCAAGGGCTTTAGCATAGTCAATGAAGCAGAAGTAGATGTTTTTCTGGAACTCCCTAGCTTTCTCCATGATCCAGCGTATGTTGGCAATTTGAGCTCTAGTTCCTCCCCCTCTTTGAAACCCAGCCTGTACTTCTGGTAGTTCTCGGTCCACATACTAATGGAGCATAGCTTGTAGGATTTTGAGCATAACTCTGCTAGCATGTGAAATGAGTGCAATGGTGCGGTAGTTTGAACATTCTTTGGCATTGCTCTTCTTTGGGATCGGAATGTAAGCTGACCTTTTCCAATCCTGTGGCCGCTGCTGAGTTTTCCTAATTTGCTGGCATATTGAGTGTAGCACTTTCACTGCATCATCTTTTAGGATTTTGAATAGCTCAGCTGGAATACTGTCGCCTCCACTAGCTTTGCTGTTGCTCAGACTTCCTAAGGCCCATTTGACTTCACATTCCAGGATGTCTGGCTCGAGGTCAGTGACCACCCCATCGTGGTTATCTGGGACATTAAGCTCTTTCTTGTATAGTTCTTCTGTGTAATCTTGCCACCTCTTCTTAATCTCTTCTGCCTCAGTTAGGTCCCTGCCATTTTGGTCCTTTATCATGCCCATCTTTGCATGAAACGTTCCCTTCATATCTCCAATTTTCTTGAAGAGATCTCTGGTCCTCCCTCTTCTGTTGTTTTCTTCTGTTTCTTTGCACTGTTCATTTAAGAAGGCATTCTTATCTCTTCTAGCTGTTCTCTGGAATTCTGCATTCAGTTGTTTGCATCTTTCTCTTTCTCCCTTGCCTTTCGCTTCCCTTCTTTCCTCAGCTATTTGTAAAGCTTCCTCAGACAGCCATTTTGCTTTCTTGCATTTCTTTTTCTTTGGTATGGTTTTAGTTGCTGCCTCTAATTTGGAGAATTAAGAATGTTATGTCTAAACTGAATTTCAGCTTACTCTAACCTTCATGTTTTCTTAGTTCAGGTGTAAAAAAGTGATAAATGAAGATAATCTTTGCTAGATGAATGTTGTAACAGGTGTGACATACATGCCAGGCATAATCTGGCATGCAGGAACTGCAGAGGGCTGTCATGGGTGGGACGTTTTGGAGGGTTTTCGTTCATAGGGCCACCATAAGTCAGAGAAGACTTGACACTACATAGCAGCAACAACCGTCTGGCGTGCGTATCTTTCTTAAGGCTTAGTTTCAGTTTTCATTGGTCAGTGATATGGTTAATCGATGCCAATTAACCATGCTTTTTCAACTCAAGACTCATTTTCACAATGCTCACTACTGATGAATAGGTTGTATTCTGTGCCTGGTCAGTGTTGCACTGTGAAATCAAAACTAAATGGGGTGTTGAGACACTCCCTCTTGCAGTGGGAGTGATTGGGCAGGAGGGGCCACCAGACATAGGGTTGTTGTGAAGTGTGTGCCAGGCCACTATAAAATTATTATGCTTATTTTTTTTTTTTTTTTAGTAAAAACATGGTTGACCGTTTTTTCATTCAAGCTTTTGGTTTCCCATAGTATTGATTGTGCAGGTATTTTGAAACTCCGTAATTCAGATATAGAACTTCGTAAGGGGGAGACTGATATTGGAAGGAAAAATACAAGAGTGCGACTTGTCTTTCGAGTACATATCCCACAGCCTAGTGGAAAAGTCTTGTCCCTTCAAGCTGCATCAATACCTGTTGAATGCTGTAAGTTCTTTTCCCTCTTTTGATTCTCCCCCAATTGAAAATAGCCTTGCTATTAACTCATGTGCTAATAGGATAACACTTGTATCTTACAAAATTGAATGTCCAGACAAGGCTGTTGTGCTTTTGCTGCTGCTCTAGCTGATTCCCTTCAGTAATTTTAACACATTGATCTAAGTATTTTAAAATATTACTTAGTTAGATACCGTATTTTGTTTGATAAATATTAGCATTCATTGGAATGTTTTATGAAAAGCTTTTTTTCTTACGAAGTTAGTATGGTATTGGCAGTAAGTATAAATAGGATGTTTTGGTATTGATTTGTAATCAGCGAATGCTTGGGACTTCTAACAAAGGAAAAGCTGAGTATGAATTAAATACTTAAACAAGCCAACTTTAAAGTTTCAGTTAGCTGAATCAAAATAAACTACAATTTGAGAACAGAATAAACATAGCCTGTATTTTAACATTTAGCAAGTGCAATTATTTCCTATAAAAATCGTGTATGAACTTAGTAGCATTGTTTCGGTTACCGTTTTTTAATCTTGGCAGCCAAATTCGGCCCCTTGCCAAGCAAGTTTTTTTATGGACCATTAATTCTAATTTTGTGCATACTTTTCGTGAAAGCAGAATAGTGACCTGAATGTAGGAACTATATGCTATGGATAATGTGTATTATGATCCAACCTATCTGAATTAACACTCACAAAGCATTGTCCAGTCTGTTGGCATAATGTGAAACAGTAGTACTGCTATTAGTCGAGGGATGGTGAAGAGAGGACGCTTGATATGAATAAAGAGTATATGTAGTAATATAAAACACAGAAGTACATGGGGTTTCTCTTGTGCAAGTGTTTTCCACTCCTTGAGGAAGAAAAGAACAGTGTGAGTGGTATACAACCATCTCTCCCCAATAAGAATGTGTAAGTGATGCATTTTATATTTGAAGCATTCAATATAGGCCTTGTAACTACCATAGTATCTTGCCTATAATTTCAGCATGCTTGCATATTTTTGTATATTTTGTATATATTTTTCACAAAGCTCAGAGATCTGCTCAAGAACTTCCTCAGATAGAGAAGTACAGCATCAATAGTTGCTCAGTGAATGGAGGCCATGAAATGGTTGTTACTGGATCTAACTTCCTTCCTGAATCCAAAGTAATATTTCTTGAAAAGGGGCAAGGTAAGTTACCCTCTTTCAGGTAGCAGAAAAGGCTTGGGTTTTGGATTGAAGTGAAGTGGACCAATTAAAACTATCCTGTCTTCTCTTCCACTTGAAGATGGCAGTGTAAAGCAAGGCATGCAGGGAGACATCTGTGCCACTTCTTTTGTTCTTATGCATGCATGTATAAAGTATAGGTACAGTCCTTAGCATGCTGTCCTAATGCTCCTTGCCAGATACTCTGCCTCTGTTGTCTGAGTGTGAGCAGCAACAGTTGGACTAATGTAATCTGATGTAATGTAAGGTAACACAATGTTTGATTCATTGTGTTTGCACATGTTCGTGAAGCATTAGCTGTGCAGAATTAATGCAGGATCTTACCATGCCATGGAACCACATCACAGTTTGCCACTGGTTTTTTTCTATTTCCTGGGTTTGCTATTTTTGTGACACATGAAACAGCACTATGTCTCTGCACCCCAAATGTGCCCTTTCATTGCACCACGTGCTTTCCATGCAAACTGTTACGTGATTGCATCAGCCACTGTTTTGTGAATTAAGGAGGAACGTGTCCCTTGCCATGCATCAACTATACTTCCCCTTCCCTGTTTCAAATTTATCTTCAATTATCTTCACTTCCTCTACACAGCATTTGCCTTTCTGGATTATTTGCTGGCAGTTAAACTCTTCCCTGCCAGCCATCTTAGAGCAATACAATTTACTTCAGAAAGAGAAGCCTTTTATTTTAAATAAAAATTGCTATTAAAATGTTAATGTGTACATACTTATTTGTAATGTGATTCTTGAACTAAAACTTCTTTCTTGGTAGATGGACGGCCCCAGTGGGAGGTGGAAGGAAAAATAATTAGAGAGAGGAGTCAAGAGGTGAGAAATTATTTTACCTGGAGTTTTTATGTGGCAGACACATAATTAGCTTGGCAGACATTTCAGTATACTGTGGATAGCCATAGATTAGCTGGTATATCTAGGAGCTAGCTTTGAGAAAGGGCATTAGAACTGCATGCACCACTACCAGTTTCAGGCAGTGCTGCATTATTCAGCTCTGCCTAGAAGTCATAATCTCTGACATGAAATGTTTCCTTCAGTGAGTGCTGTGATTATTTGAGGTCTGTAGCACAGATGTGGAACATGCTCTGCATGCAAACATTCCCAGATTCAATGCGCAGTATCTGCAGGTAGGGCTGGGAAATGCAGTGCATGAAACCCTGGGGAGCTGTTCCTTCTTGGTGTTGACAGCACTAAAGTGGATGCCTTGATACAAGTTGGCTTCCTAAGACAAGGAATGCTGCTACAGGTTCCTCACTGTTACTTCACATCTTTCAGAATCTGAGTTCTAGATCTGAAAGGGTTTTGAGCAATGCCCAGTATTAAAATCCCAGTTTTCCAAAGTAGTAACGGTGGTGGTAGCAGAAATGGAGGTGGGAATGGTGATAAGTTGACTGGAAATGAGTTGTGCATAGGGGTTTGGGACATAAAAGGGCCAATGTGTTGAGGAAAAATTAAACAGTAATAAAGTGGTGATTTTGGTGACCTTTAGGATTGTTGCACGCAGCAAACATAGGAGGGCCTGCTATCACCTTTTGTTTACCTTTTCATGCAACCCAGGTGCCAGGCATGAGTGGGTTACTAGATTTTCCCACCATTGCATATCATTGACTTACAGGTGCAGAGAATTTGGAGGTTAGACTAGTAGGCTAATCTGGAAAATCTTGGATTGGGTGGGTAGGGGGGATATAATGTTTGACCACCAACAAGGGCATTGCGCTTTGCTAAGGTACATAACGGGCAATTAAAAATCTTAGCAACTCGTGCTTCAGGTTATAAAGCATATGCTGTGCCCAATTACTTTAGTAGGTGAGGAAGCAAATTGGAAGAAGGTGCTTTCTGTGGTACACTTTGCCTTTAATATATAACTTTATCCTTTTTCATTCAGGCTACAATTGTTCTTGAAATCCCTCCATATCACAACAAAGCAATTACAGCGGCTGTGCAGGTGCAGTTCTACGTTTGCAACGGCAAGAGGAAAAAAAGCCAGTCTCAACGTTTTACTTATAGTCCAGGTACAGGCCCTCTCTGAGTGCAGATCATGAACGATGCACAAAACATTCTTTGTTGTAAATGACTATGGCATCTGCACTTTTGTTTTGGTACCCAGCTCTTTTTTACAGTGAAATTCAGGCATGATGAATTCAAAAATATTTAAATTCTAGGTAGTATAACGAGATGGAAGAGAAGTGATAGAGGTATTCAGTAGAAATTTCCAGCTACTTCTGCCCTCATGCATACTGCTTTTTGTCACAGTCCAGGGATATACACCTTGCTTAGGTGTATGTGTTACAACATCTATGTGTTGTTACGAGTGAAACATTTCTAAAATAACAGTAGACATACTTCTAAACTAACATGACCTCAGTATACAGAGATAGGCTAAAGGCTAGAAAGCAAGTTTTATTTTCCACCTTTTTTACTTCTATTGATCTAAAATGTGCCAATCATGTCATAAAATGAAAATGTGGGCCTGATTTAAAAAATCACTATTCCCTGAAATAATTCTCAGCTTTTCAGTTTAAAATGTCTCAAAATGTTTGTTCATTCTTTAAAAATTCCAGTGCTGATAGTAGGAATTTGCCTAAGAAACGGAAATCTATACAGGCCTTAAAAATGAGTGAGCATATTTTCCATGCCATTTTTCCACTAAGATGATCTTCCAAAGAAGCTTGTAAATAAAGTTCTTACAAAGGCACAGAAGAACTAGGAACACACGTGGAATGTGAGGGTGCTGAGCTGAGACTCAGTTGTGTTAATCAGGGGCTCAGTAGGGACACATGTTACGGAAGTAGTTCGTTGTTTGTAATAGTCCCTTTAAGAGAATGCAGTACTTGTTGCAGGTCTGTCTCCTTAATTGTCTTTTCAGACCCCATGCCTCCAAATCCACTTACAGCATTTGATGAACTCAAACAGCTTCATGATAATGCATTAAACTGTGTGCTAAACCCTTGAATGTGTAAAGAGAAGGCTAGTGTGGTTATAGTATTACAGCATTAAGGAGACATTTGATGGGGAGGAGATCTCCCAGGTCCTGCCGGAAATGATATTGTCTAGGTTCCAGGATTTCTATCCAGAGCAGAGCCTAGGTTTTTATACTAACAGTATAGTTGAGTTTTATGTACTCGACATAAAATAATATAGCTCATGCTTTGTGTGCAGAAGGCTCCAGATTCCAATTCCAGCATGTATATTTTCAACTTGGATCTAGGCGAGCATGGCTGCGGGTAGTGTTGACTTTACAGGGATATTTATTTTATTTATTTAAAACATTTATATGCTGCCTGATTGTGCCACAGCACCTCCAGGCAGCTCACAACCATAAGATAAAATACAGTAAAAACACAATAAAAACCGGAACACATTAAAAATAACAAAAAATACAAACCAAAAAAAAAAAAAAGACCCTGTTCAGACTTGGAATAAAGTAACATGTAATGTTGTTTTAGCCATCCACCTAGTTGATCACTGGTTTTCTCATTATACAGTTGCACTGAAACAAGAGAACAGAGATGACTTGGATTTGTCTTCAGTTCCCTCACTGTCCCTGCCTCATTGTACAGGCGTTAAAGGACTCTCTTCTCTCCAAACTCAGCTGCCTTCACCAGATTCAGGACTCTCACATGACAGTTTACTTTCTACTTCACCCAGGAGCCTTGTATGCCCAGTCCAACAAACGTACACTCCCATGGTCTCCTCTGCAGTATCCCAGTTGTCACACATCCAAGCTAGGAGCATTAGTCCAGGTGAAGAGCATCCGGTTCTGTCTCCAGCTGTAGTCCACCAGTCTTTTCAGGTAACATCAGCTTCTTCTGTGAGGCCTTCCTACCAGCCTATGCAATCTAATGTTATGTTTAATGGACAGTCTGGTCTTCCCATGAACTCTGCCTCCTCCAGCCAAGGATACGATGCAATGTCATTTCAACAAGATGCAGCTGTACCTCCATTGATAAACCTTGGCTGCCAGTCTCTACCACAAATGCCGTATCATTCATCAGATCCAGGTTCGGTGTCAGCTTCTGTTGCAACAGGGGGGCATCCTTCAGCACATTCAGCTCGTTCAAGACAATCATCACCTCATCTACAAGCAATGGGGTACCACTGTCCAAATCCCCAGCAAAATTCTGTCTCTTCTGCAATGACTCAGTCCCTTGGACACCCTTCCACACCATTGCAGCAAGTCACATACCATTCTCCAAATCCGGGTAACACTTCATCACCATCCCCCAAATCTTCACATTCTTTGGTCCATTCACCACAATCTGGGCCATCTTCTCCACAGTTGCAGCCTATGCCTTACCAGACCCCTAGCTCAGGACCTGCCTCATCTCCTCCTCCTCCTACTGTTAGTCATACTGGTCAACAGTCCCCACAAGCGCATAGCCCAAGTTTGGGAGGAATTGCTGCAGCTTCATCCTTGTTGCATCAGAACATGTGTGATGCATCTCCATTTTCATCAGAGGGGTCAACTGTTAATGTTAAACCTGAACCCGAAGATCGAGAGTTAAATTTTCAGACAATGGGGCTCCAGGACATCACCTTAGATGATGGTAAGTGATACTACGTTTCGGATGTTTGTTGCTTTTGGAAGAACAGTATAATAAACAATTGTGTTGGGAGCATCTGATCCAAGTACTGTGCATGTGGCCATTTCAAGTTGCTATGGGGTTTCTCATTCTCTGCAATATTGGGGATAGCCGCAAATGCAACTGGGAGGTGAGTGCTTGCGGTCTGTGCAAGGTGTGCATGGAAGTCCTTGTTTGCTCAGCTACTGGTGTGCATATCTGGGTGTTAGCATGGACAAAGTACCACTGATCCACTTGGTCATACTTTGGCAAGCTTTTTAATGTTTGCTTTAGTATTTAAGCTTACACAAAATAAACATAGAAAAAGACTGTTTTAGTACTTTGGGCTTGATTGTGTGAGGTGTGTTCAGGCTTGGTAACAAGGTAGGAAATTTCAAAAGACCTTCAAATACAACTTTGCTAGCATGGTCCTTTGTTTAATTTGTTTTGTGAATGAGTGTGTTTTCATCTGTAAGATACAGAACATAGGCATCAATTGCAAAAAGGGCAGTTAAAGTGATGATTTTGACAAATAATGTCATGCTGAAATTATAGAAGGACATAAAATGGTAATCAAGATGTTTTTAATAAAAGGAGGCTATCAGCTCTACTATGCTGTGTCTATAATTACTTGGACTATTTATTTAACTAACATTGTCCATACTTTAAACTCTATATCCAGACAAGCTCAAGTGAGCTGAACTAATTAACATGTATAACCTATGTCTAATCAGTGCAAAACATCTCACTAGAAACGACTGTTGCTACATTCATAATGTTATGCTGTTCCTTTATTATCAAGTTATCGGGTCTAAAACTACTAAGCTAAGTAACTCTTGAGTCTAAGAAACATACATTTTAGGGATTATCTAGTTCTTCTTGGTCAGGTGTATAAAGAAACTATTTCAGGGTTATCAGAGCAGTGTAGTTGGAGAATGGAATTCAATAATGCAAGAGCAAGGCACAGTATAAAATGTAGCTGGATGGTGTAAAAGAAAAGAATTCAATAGCAACACCACAGATACGTACCTACCTACAAAAGGTGGGGAAAGGAGTATAAAATGGGTGACTTAGACTACCTAGCAGGTGGGGCAAGCAAATGTTTTGACTGCCTCCCTAGTTATGTCATGGAAAAGAAATAGATTTGGTTAAAAATTTTGACTGTTTAGTGTGTCTATTTGAGACCGAAAAATAAGCCTTTAGAATCATTCTTCTGATCTCAATATTAGATGGAATTCACTATAACGTAATCAAAAATTTATTTGGGGCCAATTCCTGATATGTCGTGCAAGATTAACTCCAGTGTTTCACCTCAAGCAGCAGTTGTGGTTCAAGATTTTTAGAACTAAAGTAATGGCTCTCCTTACACACAATCTTCAAAAGTCATGCTATTATCCGTATTGGGTTTAGCCTTAGCTTTTTCTCAAATGCAAATCCCTATTTGTAGTAGTTGTACAGTAACTGGCCAGATATTTATCAGACTTAACTCATTTGGTTCTTGCATCGATAGATCATTAATGCTACTAGAAATGACCATTGAGTAGATAACAGTTTCATGTCAAGCATATAGTAGGACAAGTAAATTAACATTTATGGTAGATAGGGAGAGACTTGATGATGAAGCTCTGCAATGCTTGTGAAGTCTGAACAGTATTTGACAACTTGCTGGGAGAGGAAAGACCTGGGGGTGATGGTGGCATCAATTGCACACAGTGATCAAGAATGGTCTCACATGCCAGAAAGAATGTGTATGCATTTGCCTCTATAATTGTTCAGCTGGCTGAAACACCTTTGCTATTACTCGTAAACCCTAATTTGAAGGAATACATATAATTGAATTAATTGCACAATTGCATAGATTTCAAAAAGAAGACAAATGTTTGAGAGTTTTTTTTAAATGTAAAAACATCCTTTTTCGTGTTGTAGCAGTTTGAGGTTATGTTAACCTTGAGTTAGGTCCTATATTTGCTTATAATGACCTTTTGCTAATCTTCTTTCATTTCCTTATCCGTTGTATCTCTCATTACATAATGCTATGGATTAGAAAGCCAGAGAATAGGGCTCTGCATTTATTCTAGATCAATGCTATGTCTTTATTGGATTTCTCTGCAGAGTAGGCGTCTGCTTTGGATCTGGTCCTTGAACATCTAGTGAGGGCCCATTAGATTAGATAGCAATACTTTCATATCTTAAACAGTTCGCATGTTTCAGAGCATTTGAGGGGAAGTGTGCAGTTTCTTTGCTAAACAGCTCAGGGATGCCTTGCTCATAGTTTATTCTCACTGACTTCTGAGAATAAACCCAGAACTCTGGGTAGCTGAGGGAGAAACAACCCAAAATTTTTACCCAAGAACAGACCAGACTGATGCAGTTCTACATGCTCAAGTGCAAGTTTGAAGGTGTGAGGTTCTAGGGAGCAGGCAGGAATCTGTGAGCTTTTGTCCCTGCTCTTGAGACTGGTGGGTATTGAAGTTGGAAACACAGAAACAGAGTGAGTCAGAAGGGGCCTCCCGGGCCATCTAGTCTGACCTCTGGCACCAGCCGGCTCCGCTCACGACATGCCCACCATGTGGACGTCCAGCCTATCCTTGAACACCCTCACTGACGGGGCCTCAACGACCTCTCGTGGAAGCCCATTCCACACCCTCGTGGTCCTGACTGTCAGGAAGTGCTTCCTGGCATCTAAATGGAACCTTGGCTCCCTGAGCTTTGCTCCATTGGAGCCCGTCCTGCCTTCCTCTGCAGGGGAGAACAGGTCTCTACCCACCTCCGTGTGACACCCCCTCACATACCTGTATGTTGCCAACATACCCCCTCTGAGTCTCCTCTTCTCCAGGCTGAAGAGACCCAGTTCCCGCAGTCTCGCCTTATACGGCATCTCCTGCAAACCAGCCACCTACTTTGTGGCCCTGCTCTGCACTGACTCTAACCTGGCTATATCCTTCTTGTAATGAGGGGCCCAAAACTGAACACAATACTCCAGTTGCAGGCGCACCAGAGTCGTATAGAGTGGTAGTAGTACCTCTAATAAGTTCATGCATTATAGGTTGAAGTAAATACTGAAGTAAGTCTTTTTATCCTTAGCCATTTGCTCTGAGGAACTTCCTTCTCGGAGCCATTTGGCAAACTCCTCCTCTGCTTAACTAGCTTTTCTTCATAAAGAATTAGCAAGGTAGATACTGCGTCTGGTCCTGAGTAAGGCACAGGGAGCGAGCTTCCTTCCGTTACCAGTAATTAGTTTCTTTGGTGAATTACTTGTCTTTTTACTTTCCAAGCCTCCACAGCAGCCTTATGTGACATTATTTATTTAAGCAATTTTGCGGTGAAGCCCACAGCAGTTTCATAAATTCCCAAAATGGACTCATGCATCCAAAGAGACTGGGCACATGTGCTGTATGGCTTTCTGCTTGGAAGAGTCTTTCTTTGGCAGACCCACCTCCTAGGAATTTGAGAAAGCCCTCCCTACAACACAACTGCCTGGATTTGCTCCTGCACAGCATGAAAGAGGCAGTTATTCTTGGTGTGCTTCCGAGAGCCAGCGTGACCCCAACCTTTCAGATGAGGACTGGGAGGGCTGGGAAACAAGAAGTGCAGACATATTGATGGTGGAGCAGAGAGAACTTATCTGAAGGCTGCTATTACCCAGATGTTCAGCCATTCAGCCAGACTTTGAGAACCAACAGGGTTTGGAAGTATAGGGAGGGAAATGGGAGAGGAGCCAGGTCCAGTCTCTGGCCCCAATGGTGCAGTGTAGGGAGAGAAGGGCTACACAATCAGAGGGCCTGTGTAGGTGCAGGAGGCTAGCCCTTCTCCAGAGGGGCACATCCAGAGGGGTGAAGCTCAGGGTTGCTGAAAAAGAGGGTTCTCCGAAATAGTTTCTCGTTTGGGTTCAACAAACACTATTCATGCACTGACACTCAGCTTCTTGATGGCTATAGCTGTTGATCAGGAATAAAGCACCCTTAAGCAAAAAGACTGTTGTTTGAAAGGAAATAAGAGGGCACCCAGCTGCCAACAGCTCCTACCTTAGGATAGGTGGCACTGGCCAGTCCCATGCCATGACCCTCTTGTAATTTCTTAGTCCATACTTCAGTAGTTCAGAAATTACTATCGTCTTGAAAGCAGGTGCCACATTTCTTTCCAGAGGTTCCAGAAGTGGATTGTCAGCAAACTTGTTTGTGCTGCAGTTTGACAAAACTTTCCTGCGCATGGTTATTCCCTGAATGTCCAGTCTTCCTGCAAGCCTGCCCTGTACGTATTCAGCAGGCCATGAAAACATACTCTTTGGGGAGACCCACCTGGAACCTTCAGGAAAGGCAACTAGTTGGGCTTCAAAATGTAGTAATGGAGCAACCCCAAGGAGAAATTCTGCTCACCATTTACTTTTTCTTCAACTTACCTGCCTATCTGTTCTTCGTCGTGGCCTCTGTGCATCACACATATGGATGCTGTGCCTGCACAGTGCCTAGGCTGGAAGATTAGAAAGCTAACGGTTTTTGGCAGGAAAACTCTGCTCCCCTCCCCCTTCATGGTATAAATAGAGCGGAGTGTCCGCCATTTTACTCAGTCTTTGCGACCGCCGTTTGCTGTGCCTCGTGCCTGTTCGTGTCTCGCTATAGATCTGTGCCTCTTCGTCGTTTTTTGTCTAAACCCTTCTTCTCTTGCTCCAAGTTTGTTCTTCTTCCCGATTCTTTCCAATTCTTCTAAAATTCTCTTCTCCCTATAAAAAAAACAAACAAAAAAAAAACCCCCCCAAAATATTATCTTACCCTCTATACTGTCCCCTTTTCTTCATTTTCCGCGATGGCACAGCGAGCGACATTCCACAAATGTATTGAATGTGGATCCAAAATGTCGCCGGCCGATCCACATGATCTGTGCCTCCTCTGCCTCGGCGAGGGGCATAGAACCGACAAATGCGGTCATTGCTTGGCATTTACCAAGCAAGCGCAGAAAAACAGGGAGAATCATCTCAAGAAGCTCCT